GTGCCATGTGGCAGAGCAACCAGCGTGCCACCTCCTCCCTGCCCTGCTCAGTGGCACTCCCTGTGCGAGAGGCTGAGCAAGGGCCACCCGTGCTGCGACGCCCCACAGCATGTTTGTTTTGGCAGCACCACCAAGGAACACAAACCTCAGACAAGCCAAGGGGCGAGGGCAGGAGAAGGGCAGAAGCATTCCTTCAGCTTTACCAGGGGCTTGCTTTTGTCTCCTACAGATGAAGCAGCGCAGCCAGAGCACTGGCAGCACTGCCAGCTCTGAATTTTGCGTGAGCACAGTTTGCATTATTTAGTAGAGATGCATATTTACCATCCTAAGCTTTATATCTTAGTCCCATGACAAAAAATCTTACTGACTATGGCACTGAATGTTAACTAGGTTATTTTTCCTTTGCTAACAGTCAAATATTAAAAATACCATTACAAATGGTGACATTTCTCCACTTTTTGTTAACTATTTCCATCTCTCGTGTATCGAGAAATGTGCTTAACAGGCAACTGAACCAATCTGAACTACATGTAGCTTAAGAAAGGGAGGGTAGGTGTTAAACCAGCAGTGACTCCCAGCTCTGCACAGTCTTCCTTAGTGGTGGTGGCTGCACTGAGTGCAGTCATGTGCAAAGAGGAGTAGGGGAGCAGTACAAACCCAGTGAAACCAAGCCTTCAGTGGGCTCTAGCCCAAGCTGCAGTACAGCAGCTGTGCTCTGTGTTAGGAGTAGCCTTTTAGTTTTGCCCTCCTACTAAGAAAAAGAAAATCCTGTCATTAGAACAAGTGTTCTGGCTCTTCTTCCTGATTCTCAAAAGATTTAACTCAACTTAAAGGGAAAATTAATCATATGGTGGCATCTGCATGTTTGCTTATTGATACCAGCCCCATGCATGAGCTTTCCAGTCCCCACCCTGGCAGATGTAGCTGGTCCAAGTCAGGATGCTGTGTGGGTCTTTCAGTGTTTCTACAAGTGGGATGTGATCAGGGAATGGAGGGAGATGGAACCCAACAGTCTCTTGTACCTACACACCTATATGTACTAAAGCCATGCAGTGTCACCCTCCTTATTCTCCACCCACCAGGAAGGAAACAAAACCTGATGTATTGAAGATAGGATTTTTCTGGTCTGTTGTTTGGGTTTGTTTGGTTTTTTTTGGTTTTTTTTTTTGCCTCAACATATGTTGTAAAACTAATCTACATTAGCAAACTCTCATATTAAGCCATTCCTTATAGGAATGAAGCAAGGCAAATAGAAAAGTTACACTTTATTTTAATAAAAATCTAAGGCTTTGTTGCTGACTCTTTGTGTCTGGTGATTTGGGCGCAGAGGGAGGTGGTGTTTTGCCGTGCTGATGTGAAGTAACTCATGTTACTTGCTGCTGAGCACTCCAGGAGATGGAGGCAGGAAAACTGAGCCCCCCTACCCTGCAGAATGCACCTAGGTCAGCAAAGCCCCAGCTGTATTGAACTGCAGGTGAACCAAACGCAGGGGCCCACGCCAGGGTTCTGCCCATCCTTCATGGCCCAGCAGCACCGGGAACACATCTGCTCCTTGGGCTAAATAGGAGGGCCAAGGGCTGGTGCCTGGTGCCTGGACTGACTCAGACTCCTGGCAAAGCAATGCCAGCACTGGGTTGCTGTGACTCATTAAAGATTTTAATTTTATTGTTTTTTTATTCCCGGTGGAGACATTTCTCTCATTAAGGATTATTGAGGTCTGACATCAGGAATACAGCTTTGGAGCCAGATGATTGCAAACCAGAAAAGGGAGCAGTGTCAGGAAGAGAGTGGCCTGGTGCTGAGGATCAGCACTGCATCTTCTGGTGGCATTCAGATGCTCAGTCTTAAGGTGGCACCCGACAGACTCACTAGGTGCACCCACAAGTTCACTCCACATAGTCATTTAGCTCATGCACACCAGGAGTGTTTCATGCTCCATCTCCAGTGTGCATGAAGCGACCACAGCTAGTGTGCATGAAGGTGCAGAATGCATCTCCTCAAGGTGGTGAAGCCAAAAAACTGCAAGCACCCTTACCTTACTACTAGAAAAGCCGTGCTGGAGTAGACATCCCTGCAGAACGAAGAGTTTCACACTTGCAGTGCTAGCAAATAACCATGAATTGATACAGCTTTTGGCTTTGCAGCATGAAAAAAACAGTGCTAGGACAGTATACTGCAGCTCGGCAGCTGTGTAGAAAAACAGACTGATGACACACCATATTCCTGCTGTTCTCCATCAAGTTGTTATTGTCCTTTAATAGTGAGTTCTTTGTATTTTTCAAAAGGCACATAATTAATTCCAGCATGCACAGAGTTTTAATAAAGTAACAAAACCCACTCATTATGTCTCCTAGTCAAAGCCTAGCTTTTAATAAAGTTTCATTTCATCTACTGGGATGACAGATGAGGAAACAAATATAAACTAAGAACCTTTTAAACAAATTATTTTTGGAAGCTGTATAAAGTTGTGCTGCACACATTGCCAAACATAAAAGACACTCGGAGGAGAATGAATTTCACCCAGAGCAGCTGTTGTTATGGGTGATGCTTATTGCTTTTGATCAGCTGCTGGAGAATGTTGGTTTTGTTGTGTATGGTAGTTGGGGTTTTTTGACACAGCACACAGGTGATTTTAAGGCCATTTATCTCTAACTATAATAAATGCCACACGGCTGTCTACAGGCACACCAGTGCCAGCAGGTAGTTATACCTGTTTCTTTGAACAAGTAAGTGCTTCATGATTGTAGCACACTAGTTTTGCCTCAAGGAAAATCAAAGAAAAGGAAAGAAATATTTCTCTCTCTTATATGGGACAAAGACTCGAAATATGAGCAAAGACACCTCTTGTACGTGTCTACACGTCCACCTTAGTGGCAGCATGCATGGATCTAGACCTACAAATTCTGGCAGTTGGCAACACTAGTTATGAAAACCATAGCTTAGGAGAGTTAAGGTTGTGTAAACTGGTAAGGGACAGAGCTAAAGGGAATGGCACAAAGTCAAACAAACACAACTTCAGCTCATACAGCACACATGCACAGCCACTTCCTACCACACAGCAGCCTCAGTTAAGAAAAAGCAGTAATGCAAAGAAAAATGTGATGCTGGTGTCACCTCCTCAACTGTAAGCCAGACAGAGGCTGCTGTCCCACACTGCTGATGCCAGAACAGGCACAGGCTATGGCAGCCTCACAGCAGATGCTTCAGGGGGCAAAGCATCCTTGGCAGCTACAAGCCACAGCCTTAGAGAATTGTGAAGCCTTGGAGTGGAAGAGGACAGAGGCACATGGAAGTCCTCATGGGTAGAGAAATCCAGTGTGGTGCTGCTGGCCCATCTGTGGCTGAGTGAAGTCCCTAATTTTCCCAGCTAGCACTTACCAGAGAGAGCCAAGCACACATAAGCCAGGACACAGAAGGGCACGAGGGGGGTCTGAAATGCTGTATTTGCTGTCAGTGCATTTCTAGATGCTGACATCCACTTGGTTCTGGCATTTCAAGGCTGTTTACAGGAAGACCTGCCCCTGTCCTAGGGTGAACCTCACATTATGTTCTAGTCCCTGTCTTTTATATTTACGGCTGTTGGCACAGGTATCCAGGAAGTGTTTATTTATTGGTACACTGTTTACTCTCATATTGATGTCTTCTTTCTTACAGAAAGCCTCCAACAAAGCTACAGTTGTCTGTCAGGTCCTTGAGAGCTCGGCTCTCAAGCCTAAGGATCACAATTGATTTAACAAACAGGACCTGTGGGCCATTTTTTGCTTAATACCCAGTACCAAGTGTGAGCTTTATTTTATGTTGTAAAAATTTTTTAATTGCACGTAACTGCATGCATCTCAAACATCTAATCATGAAATTTCTTCCTCCATGGAGCCACAGTGGAGACCACTGCCTGCCATGCACAGCAGAGGAAGAGATTTGCCCTAAGGGAGGCCTGGGGCAGCACTGCACCAGCCAGCAGGGCCAGGCTACTGCAGCACCCAGAGATGGGGCTTCCCTTTGTTTCCTTCGGGGTCAGCCCCACCATTGGCTTCCCCACAGTGAATGCCAAAGCAGCAGCCAGTAATACCAGCACTGTCTGGGAGAGAAGGTGCAGGCGCTGCGAGTGTTAAGCAGGCTTGACTGCTGTGAGAACTGCTTGGGTCTCCACTGCCAGCAGACTGCAAGAGAGCAGGCAGGGTTTACTCTCCACCCTCACATTCCTCCTCCTTTCCTGTCCATTTTTATCTTTACCTTCACTTTTTGGTTTTCCTTCTATCTTTTCCCTTCAGGAGTATCACCTTTCAACCCCTTATTTGATCAAGTTCAGCCTCCCCCACATCTCTCTCTCTTGCCCTGTCCAACCCTCTCTCCTACACCTCCAGCCCTCTCTCCTCCCCAACTCCCCTTCTGCAGCTCCTGCAGTCATTGCACACAGCAGTAGCAAACCACCTCTCCATGCCAGAGCAGCCCAGCATCCTGGATCAGCAGCCTGGCAGGTTCCAGGAGGTGCACAGCAGCCGCAAGGCTGCTCCTGACAGCCTTGGCTTGTTTTCTCATCCAGAATGAACAGAGAGGGTGGCCAAGACTTCTCTTGGGGCAGCAGTTGGCCATGAGATGACAGACTCAGTGTCCTCATCTTCTGTGCAGAGGCTGCCAAAAGCACATCCCTCATCTGTATCCCACATTCAACTTAATTCTGCAGCCTGCATGACACAGGGTTCCTTTAAAGCTACATAACAATCTGTTGGTAATTTGGTTTTTAGTGTGAGCATTGCAAACACAAGTTATGTGGTCTCAATGTTAAATTTACCCTGGTATGTATGGAAGAGCAGGGAACAGAAATCCAGAATCCCTGCTGCGCATCATGACTTCAGGCCAATTTATGCCTTCTGATTACTCACCAATCAGAAGGAAAAACCACACTAGTTATTCGTATCAACAATGCTCCTGACAAGATGATTTATAACAAGAGAAGAAGCACACATTTTGTACCTGAACAAAACAAAGCAACACTGCAATTTATATATAATAGGTAATTTTTATTTAAAAAAACATTGCAACTGACAGAAAAAATAAAGTCCGTGAAATGTGCCATACATTCAAAGAGATGCATTTAAAGTAAGCAATTTCTTATTCTCTGAGGTGATCATTGAAACAAATACTTCCTGACAACTGGAGAACAAAAGTTCTGTAACATTTTTTTCCTAAAGTACCTTGCAAGAAGTTCTAGAGTTCCTGGCCAAGAGTCCTACTTGCTAAATGCCACATACAAAAGATGACTTAGACATGGTTTCACTGGCTTCTCTTCCAGCATTTGCTGCTCTGGTGTAAATGAGACTGGTCTGCAGAGCTCGCTGGATTAGGTACTGCTGACACTCAAAAATCCACCCAAGGAAGAATCCCAAAAGGAAAAAAACAGAAATTGCTTTATCCTCAGTAATACCTGTAGTTCAAAGCCAAAGAGGTGGCCAAAAGTGTGAACTCATAGGTGAAGCTAAAACATACAAAAGTATGCTTTCATTATTTTCTTACATCCCTGTTTTGCAGAATATTAGAAAAAGACCACCAAATACAAAAATCTTACCATTACAAGTCATTAAAAAAACCCTTCCAACCATTAAAACACACAACAAAGTGTTTGCTTTCAAACAGTAGTAATACAATCCTCATTAAAGCATCATTCCAGAGAAGCCAGTTGTTAAGTTTTCAATTAAAAAAAGACAAAAGCCAAGATGTTCTTGTAATACAAGAAAAGAGAGAACACAGAAAAGAGAGGAACAAAACATTCATAGTCTGCCATGCCGAGTACATTGTCTTTGTAAGGTCACTTCAGGCCTAGAAGAGTATGGTATCAAACAAAGAGCATGGAGTCAGTGCCTGGCACAGTGTGATTCCCCTTCTCTGGACAGTTTGCCACCAATGAAGACAGTCCAGACTCAAATCATGAGGTTCCCAAAGAAAGCACAGTAGGGGAAGTATCTGACTTACACACTGAAGTTTTCAAACGTCAGACTTGCTGCCACTGCTAAGAAAACATAAGCTCTTGAACTATTCTTAGAGAAAAAATTATTCTGAAAAATCCGTCCAACACCTTGCCTGTGGCCAGATGGGACTCACCCCGCAGAGGGAGTAAGCCTCATGAAAGAAGCAGCACAGGCATAGCTGTTCCTGGGACCAAGGGCATTTCTACAGCCTCCTCACATCACCTGCGGCAGTTTCATGACAGCAGTGTCACAACAGGAGCCCAGGGGCATGGTGGCAGCCCCCAAGGGTCCACACTACCAGCAGCTGCACATCAGAGACAGAGCACGGGGACCTATGCTGGCTAATGGCCTTTAGACACAACATCTACATGAACTCTGCTCTCTCAACCTTCTCAGTCCCTCTCAGTACAGGCTGCTGATTCTTCTAAAAGAGAAGAACCTCTTCTTTAAGAGCCTAACAGTTCACAACAGTAAAAGGAAAACATGGACTTCTTCCTTGTTGGGCCAATGCAAAACATAACCTGGTTCTTGCTTGGCATTGTACAACATGAACATGAATCTCAACCTCAACAAATCAAGCTGTCAGATGCTGGTCCTACTCCAGGGGATGCAGCTTTTTCTCTGTCTTAAACTTACTCATTTCTGAGCAAATGAAAGTGGACCTGCTTCTATCTTTGCGGCTCAATCACATCTAGAAATACTTGCCTGGCAATACTAGCAACACCCATCCACTGGCCCCTTGGTTTGGAAAAGACATCCTACAGCCCAGCTCTGTCCTGTGCACAGCTGCAGGGGCAGTGCTGCCCCACAGGTGCAGGGGGGCCACACTATTCCCACATCCACATTCTATTCCCACACCACCCAGTTTCAAAGCATGACTACTTAAGTTCCCTGCAGTCTCCCGCTGGCTCATTTTTTTGCCTTGATGACTGGCTGTGCCAGCTTAGATGAGACTCCAGAATCATCAGACCTCCTCCATCATCTCCTCCATGTGTCCTCCTGCAGCAGGGATGAACATCCGCTGACTTTTTAGCTTTACAGCATCTGTGGCCAGCTAATTTCTGGCTGCTCCCCTCTTTGCAGGGCCTCCCACCCCCACCTTCTCTCACCAGACACCCTTATAGGGAAAAGAGAAAGCTCCAGGATTTGCTCTTGAATACTGCTTTCTCCATCGTAGAGATACTGAATGCTAGTATACACCATAAACTTCCCGCCAATATACAGACTTTACATTATATAAATAGGTAGAAGTTTCAAACAAAATATTCTATAATTTCTGTGGTGTAACATTTTTAAATAGCATTAAAAACACGAACTGTCCAGCCCTTGTGATTAAATATACAAACATTTATGAATTAATAAGGCTCATAGGTACGTATGCAAAAATAAAGTGCCCCTCCCCCCACCAAGAAACAGTTCTGTACAGCTAAGTATGAAAACAGAGCAAGTTATTTAACACAGAACCTCCCGCGCTGGACGTGCAGCCATATTTTCCATTCTTGTTCTCATTTCTGCTTTCAACTTGGCAACACAGGAGTATTTACAAGTGGAAGAAGAGATGCCATGGCTGACTCTGCTGACCTGCAACCTGCCCAGCCAAGCTCCTCACAAGGCCTTGGTGCTGGCTGGGTGTGCAGTGTGGGACACGGGCTTCTGAGGGTAGTGGCTGTACAAGTAAACCTGCAACAGGATAGCAATGTCTACAAATACCTGCAGGAGTCCACAGATGGAAAACTGGAAAGGGGCCTGATTCAGGATGAAGTAAACAGTCTTGAATGTGTCCCCACTAGTCCACATCAGCACCATCTTGATACTAAAAGACAGAAGAAAGGGAAGAGTGTTTACTGAGAACTTGGTTTTGGATTACACCTGCTGTGCCAGAGGATCCCACCTACTGCAGCTAGGATTTACACCCAACAAAGGGCTGGGACTCCCCTTGACAGGGCAGACAGCGTGTCTAGGTGAAATAGGCAGCACTGTACTTGGAAGGGAGGATCAAACTCTCTGCTCCACAAACTGCAGCACTCTTATCTCAGCAATTACAGCTCCAAACACCTGTGGCTATGAAGATACTAAACATTTTAAATTCTCCAGCTAGGATATTTGACTCAGTGGTGTTCTGCAAACATGGCTGCCACATGCTGACAGCATTGACCATAAACCAAAGTAAAACACTGCATGGAAAAGAACAATTCATCCCAGCAGTTGCTTCTTATGTGTGCCATTCTGTGCTCATGCAAGGTAAAGTAACACACAGATTGCTTTCTCATGCATGCACACTTTTAGCATGTGCTGAAACAAACAAAACAGATAGAAGAAATCACTCATCACTGCAGAAAATGTCTAACTAAAAAAAGCAGACAGATTGCCCAGTAATACAGAACGAGGAGAAATTACATGCCTGGAGCTGTTACTGGAAGGATGAACAGCACTAGGGATTTTTATCAAGGAGACAGATCAAGAGCAATGCTCAGAGTTCCTTTTAATAACCAAACTTGTTTTCATCTTGCTCTTCTCCTAAGTATTTCCTGTCCTGTAGTCCAGCTTCTGCTCCCCCACATCAGGAGAAACTCTGGGGAATACAAGCAATTTCTTCAAACAGACCAAATTATTTTCCATGTCCTCAATAAAATGTGAACAGCCACACCTGGAAGGCTGTTTCTGAGCTTCATGCACTTTATCAGGAGAGCTTTTTAAGCAACTGGATAAGCAGCAGTGGACAAAAGCTTTGTAGTTCACAGTATGAGCACTGTGCATGATTTGTCATAATTACAAGCAATTTACATTTTGCCAGCACAGACTCCATCACACACAGTCAGGCCCATGCAGCAGGGCAGGACTTAATGTTCATTTTTTAAACATTCAGGCAGGACCTCACAGGATTTGTGTTTTGGCCACAAGTGCACAATGCCATTGCAAGCCAAATGCTGCAGCCCATTCTTTCCCCACATGGTGGACAAAAGCATCAGTTTGTACAGGAGCCTTTTGTAACTAGGGTCATGTGGCCCACAGCACAAAACAGGTCTACAATCAGGACCTTCCATAGAAACTATGTGGAACTGCAAGCAAGGATATGGGGTTAAGTGAGCAGTCATTTCCCACCCAAGGTCATTCTAAAAACGTAAATAAATAATCAGAGAAAGAAAAAACTGCTGAACTCTAAATACCATTTGTGCTTGGTGCAAACAACTTGCACCACCTGCCCAGTGCATGTTCCCAGTCACACCAAGTCACTTTGCATCACACTTATACAACATTTATAGATGCAGGTGGTAGTCAAGGAATTGACTGAGATTTTAATTAGGAAAGCAATAAAACTCTGAGGGATATAAAACTGGCACCTTGCTTTTTGGCAGCCAGTATTTTTTCCTCCTTAGATTTTAAGCATATTAATGTTTGCTGGGCAACTAATCACAATTTAATTGTGAATCTGTCCTGGCATGGCTAGGCACCCTCACTAAAAGCACATGCTCAAGCAGGCTGATCAAACTACCTGCTCACTGTTGACAAAAGGGAAATTCAGGAATACCATGAGATAGCTGAATTAGAATTTAACAAATATCCATAATACAAAGGATATCTGTCACTCATTCCCTCAATGGAGAAAGACAGCTGGGTTTTTAAAGTGACTTTACAGCGCAGTGCAGTTGTGGAGGAGAAGATACAGAGTCAGAAGATGTACAGTCTAGAGAAGAGTTAACCCCCTCAAAGAAAGAATAATCAATCACTGAAGGAAAACTTAAGGACACCTGCAGTTCATCAGAACCACAGGAGCCAAGCACACCCCTAAGTGTATCACATGCTGTGCCAGGTTTGCCAAAGCAAGTCTGTATTTTGCTAGGAAGCCACCTGTGAACTCATCAATCTGCAATACCGGCTGGAAAACTAGGTGCACGTTCTGATAGCCTCTGCACGTTCCAGAGCCCACACTTCAGCTCATACATCTGACACTCAAGGACATCATCATCATGCCTGGAGTTCTCACTCCGGGAAGACATGACAACGTGTTGTGGTGTGTTTTGCTTTAATTTTGTGTTTGCCCACTATTCTCCTCCCCTCACGAGTTGTCAGTCTTCCCAAGCCCTTCCCTAACTTCCTCTCTCCAAAGCTGTCAATCCTCCCTATCCCTACCCCTTTTTCCAGATTGTTCCTCGTCTATCTTGCAGTATTCAATACTCCATTTATTACTTTGTATTATTCCCCTCCCCTGTTTCCCCTGATAGGTTTATAGAATGTTAGTCCCACCTTAGTCTCCCCCCCTGCCATGCCCTCATTGGTTGGTTGTCCTGTATCACTCCCCCTAAGTTGTCCTATAAAACCCTCTGTACACCCCACAAGCTTGGTCTTGGGTCCCAGGTCTTGATCCACCTAATAAATCCACCCAGTTCTACCTCAAGACCCGTATCATCGTTGTCTGTTCCTGCACTGGACCAATCGATAATTGGGAACTGCAGAGCTTGCAGGGGGATGGTCGCTGCCCTGCTGTCGCCACCCAGCACACCCCGACAGCGTGCTACGATAACAACACTGCACACACATGAAAATCTCAACTTGTCCTTGACAAAAATGATCTTAAAAAATGCTACAGGTAGTTTAAAGAGCTGATGCCACTGGTCTGTCTATGTACCAAAAAACATACATCCTTCTCAGTCCAATAGTTTGGACAAAGCTCCAGAGAAAACCTGCAAATCACCAAGGTACAATGAAAATAAAATACAGAAAACGCTTGACATCCCACAGGACTCAGTCCTTCAGCTGCACCAAGGTTCTCAGGGCTAATGCAAAGTAGTGACTGTGGGAGTGCTGGCTGCCCTTCCAGAGGAGAGGCTGGGACTGGGCAAAAAGAGCACATCCAACAGAGACCAAAAATGCATGGAGTAATCACAAAGAGCTTAGAAGAAAATGGGAACAGTGTTCTGCAATAGGAGAGAAAAGGAAATGAAGGGCCACAAAGGAAAGCAAAGGAGACAGCAGAGGAGCCAAGAGGTTGGTCAGATGAGAAGAGGATAGAAAAAAGAGACTGGAACAGCACAGGGAATGACAGGAATGGAAGAGAACTGGAAACCTGGTACACAAGTTCTTGAAAATGACCTTAATTTGGGGTAGACAATTTGCGGTATGGGAAGGTTTTGGTAGCAGGGGCCAGGGAGACAGGCTACAAAGTGACTTCTGTGAGAAGCTGCCAAAAGCTTCCCCTAAGTCCAAGACAGCCAATGCCAGCTGGCTCCAAGATGCACCTGCCACTGGCAAACGCTGAGCCCATCAGTGACAGTCGTAGCATTTCTGGGATAATGTATTTAAGAAGAGGGGGAAAACTGCTGCACTACACAGCAGCCAGGTGAGAGGAAGTGAGAACAGATTCCCCTGCAGCCCGCGGTGAAGACCATGATGAAGCAGCTGTGCCCCTGCAGCCCATGGAGATCCATGGGGGAGCACAGATCCACCTGTAGTCCATCCTGGAGTACATGGATGCCCAAAGGAGGTTGTGACCCCATGGGAAGCCTATGCTGGAGCAGGTCCCTGGCAGGACCTGTGGGTCCATGGAGAGTGTGGCCCACAACAGCAAAACTAGAGCAGCTTTCTGTCAGGACTTGTGACCCCTGGAGCAATGGATTGTACAATCCATTCCTGAAGGACTGCACCCCATGGAAAGGACACATGGGGACCCACACTGGAGAAGTCCATACCATAGGAAGCACCCACATTGAAGAAGTTAATGAAGCACTGTCTCCTTGGGAGGAATCCCAAATGGAGTAGGGAAAGAGCATGAAGAGGACGGAGCAGCAAAAACATGTGATGAACTGGCTACAACCCCCATTCCCTGTCCCTCTGAGTCATTTGTGGGAAGAATGTAGAGAAGATAAAATAAAATTGAGCTTGGGAAGAAGGGAGAGGTCTGGGGAAGCTGTTTTAAGATTTGGGTTTATTTCTCATTATCGTCCTCTGATTTTGATCAGCAATAAATTAAATTCATTTCCTTGAGTGGAGTCTGTTTTGCCTGTGATGGTAACTGGTGAGTGATCTCCCTGTCCTTATCTCAACCCATGAGCCTTCTGTTGTATTTTTCTCTCCCCCTGTCCAGCTGAGGAGCAGGAGCAGTATGAGTGGTGTGGTGAGGACCTGGCATTAGCCAACATCAATCCACCATGAGGGTAAAGCTAGGGAACGAGCCAATAGGTGCATGCTGGCCCAGGACCCTCACCTCATCACTCCAAGCACCCTGGAATGCCCCCTGCACCCTCTCCAAATCAGTTATGTGTCTCACTCCTCCAGTGCCCACTCCAGGGAGGAGAAAAGCTACAACTGCTGTTGGCTCTCTCCCATCTCAACTAGCACCCACACACACAGCCTCAAAGTTTCAGCTTGCTGAGAAACCCACCAAGTGTCTGTGTGGCACCTTGGATGAAACAGAGCTGGCCCTGCCCCCACTACCACATCACAGGCCTGAGACAGGCTGGGCTGGATGAAGGTTACACCATCAACACAGCTTCTGTCAAGTCTCAGTCTCCAGATTCTCAGTGCAATAGTGATGGTCCTCCCCCTGCTTTGGGATTTGCAATTGCTCTGCCCTTGCTGCATATGCAGATGTCACTTGCAATGGCGCAGCGGTTTGTGTATGACTCTGAGGGATGGATGGCATGGATACACTGTTCTCATACCTTCCAGCTATTGTGTCACTTCAGGATGCCTCATTGCACAGAAAAGCCAGTTTTTGTCTGCAGCTTCTCAACTTTACCCAGTCACCTGGGGAAGAGAGGCTATTTTTATATTTGGTCTTACTTTGGGGTAGACAAGATAAACACCATTCTAGTT